GTGCCTATCTTCGTTCTCGCTGCCTGTTGTGCTTTGGAGGGTCAAATTTCGAGGCCACAAGGCCGCAACGTTGTAAGTGCAATATCTTGCTCGGGATGTGTTATCTCACCAAAACTCAGGGACGATGTCAATGTGATTGTCTGCCTTGATGCATGCTTTACCCAGAAGCGGCGAGCGTCCGGGCGACGAGATCCTGCAAAGACCCACCCCGCCTCTGTCTTTCTACCCGAGGATGAGGTTAAGGCCATGGAGCTCGAGGTGGAACAAAAGCGTGGAAACAGGGCATCTCGCAGCAAATCGTCGACTCGGGTGGATAAGAATTTGACGTCGAGAAAAAGGAAGGGTGCTCCGGCGCGCGACCGGCAGGGGGGAGAGGAGGAAGAAGACCGATGCGAAGGCCCTTTGACGGTTCCGAACTCTGTGTTAGACGGCTGCGAAGAGTCTTTCAAGGCCACCGACGAGCAACGGGAGAAGGCGAGCACCAAGTTCTTCGACGACACCGGAGTGATGGCCATCCTATGCTGACACGACAATGTCCTATGGCTAGTCAACATGACGAGTGCGGGCGAGCGACAACACTACGCCATTGCATTGCTGAATCGACTGTTCCAGCATCTCCCGGAGTCATTTCTCGCTGGAGTCTTGTACGATATTGGGTGCCAACTGCATCGTAGCGTTCACAAATGGGATCTTTTGACAGGATACCGTGAACGGATACTGTTCGGCATATCCGTCTTCCACGCATATGGACACGAGTGGCCTTGCCAACTCACCTATCATCCCAGGAAATGTGAAGGGTTTGGCTTATCGGATGGCGAAGGTTGCGAACGGTTTTGGAGTTGCATAGACCATCTCGTACGTTTTTTGGGATTCTTCAATTCCTTTTTAAATGCTGATGATAAAACCGCAGTTCTATCAGCGGATGTATGTGCTCGACGCACAAGTTCAGCACGCGAGCCGCATTCAACGTCGGAATCTGGGGAACTGGCTTGCCAAGAAGTACTATGCGTGCCGAGTGCGAATGTCGGATGCGAAGCACGGATTAGAGGAATGTGCTATCGCGCTGGAGATATTGCGCAATGAGTTCGCATCACAGACGAAAGCCCAGACAAGACCTCTTCAACGTGAGTGACTTGCGGGCAAATTTATCACTGTCACTAAATCATCAGTTAGGACAATCAAAGGACGCTGGAAAACGAGCCATCGATGCTATCCTGCTTCTGCAGAACCGCTTCGTCGCGCTCGAGGAGAGCATCGCCAAACTGGAGAAAGCAATCCTGAAGGGCAACTGCGATGCAGATTCAATGGCTCGGCGCAACGAACTGCTGGACGAACGTGATATGACGAAAGAGAAGAAAGATGCCCTGGAACGTCGGCTCGATTTGCGGACACGGCAAGATCTGAGTTCCCTACGGGCAAGCAAATATCTGACCCATCGGATGAACGCGCTGGCCTTGAAGAATCGAATCAGAGACCGGTTGCGGCAACGGAAATTCGAATTCACTGGCATGGAGCGATCGTACCGGACGCAGTCATCCGGTGAGTCTAAGATTTTCCGTACTAGATGGACGTCTAGAAGCTTGACGTTCGATGAGATTTGATAGACCGCAAGCTCGTAGCGCATACCACAACAGCAGTGCATAGACGGGAGCCAGGAATCCAGACACAGGCGCGGAAATATAACGCGCTATGCAAGACGATGTCCGAGCTTATTCGCAAGAACGAAGCTCCAGCTCGGGCTGTGCCACCAGTACCAATTGACATGGACCGGCTGTGGGGTCTCGACGTGGACGACGAAATCTGGCAGGATATCGGGCTGGCCGATGAATATGATACGGCGGACGGGCAACCTCCCAGATGGTTGTCAGATGAGAAAGTTAAATCGGGCATACGCCATATGCTAGAGGTGGACAGGTGCGAGGAGGAACTCCGACGCATTTTACTCGAGCGCGAAACCCTCCAAAGCTGGCTTCGGGAAGAGTGGGCAGCGGTTAACCATGCCCTCAAGAATGCTGGTACGCAGGCTAGCATCTTCCGTCCATCGAGAAGTTGTTAATGTGTCCATAGCGTCCAATCCCGGCCTTCGTGCTCAGCTGACCATATACCGCGCCGAGTTGATATCACTAGCAGTCATATGGAGGAGGGATGTTGCAGAAATTCCGATGGGCAATGCCCGTGATGACGAGTGGGGCCCAAGCGAGGAAGAAATCAGGAAAGGCATGGCACGCGAGTTTTTGGCGTCGGCACCTTTACTTGCTACGACACCTGCGTTTAACAATTCCAATGACGATCCCGATGACTACCTCGATGTTCACGGCCTTGCGGTTATTCTGGAGGAGAACCCAGAGGATGGCGCAGATACAGCAGCGTTCTACGAGCGGTTGGAGGACCAGTATGTCAATGTGGAGGAGCTACCGTCTGATGCATGGCCGGCAACCCCGCAGCTGACACCCGATACCCCAGGAAGTATATCTGGGTCTGTCTCGTCGTCGCAAAGCCTCCGGACGCCATCGGGATCTGATGTCGGCATTGAATATCGCCATCGTTTGTTTGTGGACTCTTTAGATGCATCTTCCTCACTACATCATATATATGACGATCCCTTTGTAACCCCAACAAAAAGCCCTCGAAGGCTGTAATATAGATGCAATGTTGACCTTGGTTATCGTGGTGTAAATGTGCGCATGCAGCTGCATGATCATGCCTAGCGATAGAATGTCCGCTATTTGAGTCGCCCGTCATCGCATCCTTACAACAACATCGTCATCCCTCCTATACACCAACCTAATACACGCTATCCTCGGCCATGGCCACCTCCGCCCACAGCTTTCCAGTACTGGAGCGACTCCTGTCCGCCAACGGCGTCCGACGTAGAGCAGGTCGAACCAGGGTTCTTCGAGAGAGGGGCGAAGGGGCAGTCGCCGAAGGTGCTCTGGATAGGCTGCTCAGACTCGCGCGTGCCAGAGTCGGTCGTGACGCTGGCCAAGCCCGGAGACATCTTCGTGCACCGCAACATCGCCAAGTACGTCGTGCCAGCGCCGAGGTCTCGCGCAGGGAGCGGGTTGGCTGACCCTGCAGTCCCGATTAGCCAGTTCCACCTTCACGATGACAGCGTGCTGTCCGTGGCAACCTACGCGATCGCGGCCGTCGGCGTCAAGCACGTCGCTATCGTTGGACACACCCACTGCGGCGGCGCGACGCATACGGCGACACTGAACGATGACCTCGCCGTTCCCCCCCTAGGCTCTGATGCGCCCATCAACAGGTGGCTGGCGCCGCTCGTCAAGCTTGCAGGAGAAGTGATAGCGTCGAACCCGACCGGTACGTTACCCGATGGCCCATCCGATCCCCTAACATCTGCGCTCTCTCCTCCGCCCCCCGTGGCTGACTGCAATTGAGCAGATCCATTGAAGGAGCTCGTGTACGCGAACGTGAAGGCGCAGGTTGCCAATCTTGCCCAAAGCGGTCCGGTCGTCGACGCGTGGAAGCAGGGCAAGTCGCTCCACATCCACGGATGGGTCTACGACCTAGCGACCGGGAAGCTCGAAGACCTGGGCATCTCGCAGGGCGGTCTTTGAGGCCTCAGAGGTTTTCTCGTTGAGATACAGATGCCATTCCTAGGGATGGGGTTCGGAGTATTGTGCGCGATGTAACATAGATTTAGATGAGTGCAGAGTGATACGGTCATATCAAATGGTAGTACCAGCATTAACAATGTCTCCGATGGGTATTACCATGTGCTGGACACCGTGTGTAGGGTGCTACCACCCAGCGTGTGGTGGCTCCACGCAGCCAGGGGAGTTCCATAGCTTCAAGAATGGTACCTCCACGCGAGTCCGCAACGGCAATGGTGTTTCCAATGTAAGGGCTGGTACCCCCATGGCCGATGTGGCGCTTCCATCATTTATGATGGTGTTTCCAACGTACCCCCATGGCCGATGTGGCGCTTCCATTATTTATAATGGTGTTTCCAACGTAAACTCTGGTACCCCCATTGCCAATGGGGTGCTTCCATCATTTATCATGGTACCCCCATGGTCAACATGGTCGTACCGTGGTTCTCCATGTGGAGGTACCACGGCCGATAGCTGGACTCACCAGGCGCTGACTGAGGTCGTTCCATAAGCAAGCACTGGTAGCTCCATTGCGGTTGTTGGTGGTTCCATTGGACTCGCCCACCTGATTGTCGGTACTACCACGGGGTGACCCATGAAGACGGCGGGTAGCTCC